AACATACTTTGGACATGTTGTGAGGAGAGACCGGTCCTTGGAGAGGGACATCATGCTTGGGAGGGTAGAGGGACGGCACATGAGGGGAAGGCCCTCGATGAGGTGGATTGATTCAGTGACTGGGATAATCGGGATGGGAGTGTCGGAGGCAGTGTGATTGGCACAGGACAGAGAAGAGTTTAGGGCTGTTGTACATAGGGTCGCTATGAGTCGCAAGCGACTCGACGGCACATAACAACAACAACAACAACAACAACAACAACAACATCAGCTTGGACCAGACTCATAGTGATGATATAAAGCCAAAATCAAATCCACTGTAGCAGAGTCAATTCAAACTCACAGATACCCTTCCTGACACAGAACAACTGCCTTTTGGGGCTTCCAATGACTGTCAATCTTCACAGGAAGAGACTTCCTCCTTTTCCTCCTATGAAGTGAGTGGTAGGACTAAATTGCTGACCAACATGCAATCCACTGAGCCACAAGAGTGCTCCTGAAAAACAGGACAACTGTACCACAGAGTTTCTTAGGCTGAAATCTTAATGAGAGCAGATCTCCAGATCTCTCCTTTACAGAGTCATTTGGTGATTCTGAATCACTGACCTTTCAGTTGGCAGCTGAGCACTTACCATTGTGCCACTTGGGCTCCTAGAGCACATAGCTTGTCATATGCAGTTCAGATGATCCTGACTCACAGTGGCCCTACAAACAAGGGGTCTGAACCCTGCTCTGTCTATGCCACTTCATCATCTCTGATATACTTAAGCCCATTGTTATAGTCATACGTCAATCCATATTGTTGAGGGTCTTCTCTTATGCTGACCCTTTACCTTTCTAAGCATGAATTTCCCCCCCCCCAAGAACTGTGCCTTCCTAACCACAGACATATTTTGTTGTTGTGTACCATCAAGTTACCTGTGACTCATAGCGAACCAAAGTACAATAGCTCTGAAAAGTGCCCTGTCCTAAGCCAGCCTCACTGACTCCAACGGACCCATTCCCATTACTCCAGTTACTGTGTCAATTCATCTCATCTGTGGAGTCTTCCTCTACTGTGTTGTTTCTCCACCCTTCAAAGCATGTCTTTCTCCAATCACTGGTCCCTCCTGGAAGCATTCCCAAAGTACATGAGAGGGAACTTCAAAATCCTAGCCTCCAAGGAGAAACTTCATTTCACCCTTTCCAAGGCAGACCTGTTTGTTCTCATGGTAGTCTATGGTATGTTCAATACTCTTCTCCAGCACCACAACTCAAAGATATCAATTCTTCCGTCATGCTTAGTCATTGTCCAGTTCTCTAATGCATAGCAAGTAAATGCAAAGATCATGGCCTGGATCAGGTGCACCTTAGTCCTTAGACTGACATCATTGCTCCTCAGAACTCTTGAAAGGTCCCTGACGGCAGAATTTTCCATGTACATATAGTCAACTCTAATTCATTCCATCACCATAGAAAGAAAATCCTGCTTTTCTGCCAGTAACTAGTCCCTACAAATTACCTTACCTCCCCATTGTACCTGAAATCCCCAGAAGTATCTGAAACTATGCTGGGGTGTGTTTTGAGTTTTCTGTTTGGGTTTCCCCGCCCCCACTTGTGACTTTTTTTTTTAATTGAGAGATGGACTGGTAGACATCATCTTGTGTATATCCCCAATGGTATGCCATGGTAATATTTCTGTGATTTTTTTTTAACCTTGGAGCCATTGCTCTTGCTGCTAACAGACTATGGGTTCACTGCTGACTCCTCCTCAGAGGAGCATTTCTTCCTTTCTTTGGGACACTCCTGCTGTTTGCTGCCCATCCAGTAATCTCTGACTCTTCTTTAGGGGAACCATTTCTCCCTTTTGGGGAGATATGTGGTGTCTCTTCAAAATCAGTACTAATAATTTCCTCCTTGGAGAAAGGCTGTGTTTTCTTACGCTCACAGAGAGCAGCATTGGATGGAATCTTCATTTCACTGTCCTGTGGAGCCTCCTGGGAACTTTGCTTCTTCTTCTTGTTTGGGTCTCTCACCAGTCTCCTTACATTCTTCAAGAACACTGCTGTTATTTTTCAATGATATAAGTGCAATCACAGCCAGTTGTTTTATTTTCCTTCTTGCAACATTTCTCCTGTTCTCCACCTTCCCCTCAATCCCAATGACCACTTCCTCATCCTGAACCACTGCCCCCACATCACATCTGAATCTTCCATGAATCTCTCCAGTTTCACAGAAGGGTAGCCATTTTTTTACTTGTTCTCTATCTAAGCTTTTCTCCAAATACAATTGCGGGCACTTTGGAAGAGGAATCAATTTATAAGGCAATACGGCATTTGTTTGTCAGATCCAGCAAGATGCAGTCTTTGTTCTTGGCAGCTGCTTGGCCAAAGAGGGCAGAGCGGAACATGAGTCCTTATTTGGCCGTTTTTCTTCTTGCTTTTAGGACTCAGGAAGCTTGAGCCCTTTTGTGGGGCCATGTGAATCATTCAGATAGTGGGACTGGCCATTGAAGATCTTTTCTATACATGTGTATAATGTCTAGGATATGAAGATTTGGGGGAAATTATGATTTTAAAAGGATTTGGGGATATGGATATCTGGAACAGCCTTCCTCAAAGGCCTTTGCTGTGGTTTGTAGAGCTCTCCAAAGGCATTTGTTTAGTCCCTGTTTGTTTATCCTGCCACAGCAGGCAGTCACATCTCTCACCCCAAACCTTCTGGAGCCAGGTCTATACCTGGTTAATAACTCAATAATTTTAGTCTCCTCTGAGTCACCCAAATTGGGATTTCTGGTGCTAATGTGGCCAAGTGCGTCATTTACTGGCCAGGCTAAAAAAGACAAATAAAAAAAAAAACAAACAAACAACCCAACCCTAAATCAATTACAAATAACCCTCATATGTCATCTAGATGGCCCAGAGACAAGGAAATAATTTCTAAATGATCTTGATTCGCTTCTGTGTAGTTTTCTGAAGTGAAGATCAGGCACTGGGATGATACGATGAATGGAGATGGCTCCGGAGTAGTCCATGATGGTCAAGGGCTTCGCTGGGACAGCACAAAGGGTTCCTGGGGTGATGACTTGATGACACATGGGAGTGCCACTGAAGCCTGCTGGACTGGGAGGGTGTAAAGATACCAAGTGGCCACCACTTGACCACTTTCCTTCCTCGGGATCAAGACAGATCAGCTCAAGAAAGCCAGTTTGATGTTGAAGTATAATGAGCTGTGTCTTTTTTTCCCCCTTACAAAGCAGGTGAGTAATGAGGAGGTGCATAATAAATGTATGTATCACATCACATAGGTCAACCTGTTGCTATGCTGTTAGGTGCCATCACATTGACTCAGGCTCATAGAAACCTGGCATACAACAAATCGAAGCCCTGCCTGTTGCTGCACCTCCCAGGATCCCTGCTGTGTGTAAGCCCCCTGATGCAGTCACTGTGCTGATAGGTCCTGGAAGACGCTCCTCTTCTTCTCTGACCCTCTGCTTTTCTAAGCATGATGTCCTTCTGCAGGGATTGGACTGATAACAAGCTCTAAGTATATGAGATGACGTTTTCAACACCTCTGCTTCTAAGGAACATTCTGACTGTCCTTCTTCCAAAACAAACTTGTTTGTTCTTTTGGCGCGGCCAATAGTGGCTTATTCAACAGTCTTTGCCAATGCCACAATTCACTCTTCTATTTGCCTTATTCATTGTCCAACTCTCACATGTATATGAAGCAACTGAAAATGCCAGAGCTTGGGTCAGCTTCATCTTGTCTTTAAAAGGACATCCTTGCTCTTTAGAACTTTAAAGAGGTCCTTGGCAGCAAATGCGTCCAGTGCAATACGTCATTTGATTTCCTGACTGCTGTTTCTACAACTATTAACTGTAGATCTAAGTGAAATCCTTGACAATTTCAATCTTTGCTCCATTTATTGTGGTGGTGTTTATTGGTCAAGCTGTCAAGCTTTATATTTTCGTGATGTTGAGATATAATCCATATATACAAATATTTTATCTTATTGTAAATAAAATTATCTTATTGTAAAGTTAGTGATTTCTTGATAAGGAGGTCATCACGCCTCCATTTTAATATATGACAAATGAAGATTATATTGCATTTTTAAAAACACATGTGGACGGACTTTGTTTCCTTCTGTACTATACATTAAAAGTGGAGCAGGGTGGAGGTGTTTACATGAAAGATTGTGGGTTTGGGTTTGGTGATGCATCACCCTGGCCTTTAATAATTTCCTTTTTCCTTCTCCTCAATGTGTCCTGAGAGGCATAGTTTCTTGAGGCCACAGAACAAGGACCCCATGGAAGTATGAATAGATAGTGGACATTATATACAGGCATCTGTGGGCCAAAAGAACAGCACTCTTGTGGGCCTCACACAACACCACCTCTGGACAATGGGCTCAGGGGCAAAAGAAGGAAACAGGCTGGAGGAGGAACTGGGCTAGATGTGGCTGGTGATGGAGTAAAAAGAATGTCTTCATCTAGATGGAAGCCACTAGACTTCATTCATTAAAATCCTACCTACCTACTGCTGTTAAGTCAATTAGGACTCAGAGAGCCATTTAGGTTTCTGAGGTGGTAAATCCACGTGGAAGGAGACTGCCCATCTTTCTCCTGTGGAGCAGATGGTGGCTTCTTCCTGCTAACCTTGTAGTCAGCAGCCTGATTCATTATACACTGATGCCACCAGGACACTTGGATTCAGTTCTGTGCGTGTATGCACACTCACATGCATGTATCCATCTGTGTACTTGAACCACAGACCTGGGGAAAGTGCTTTAAGGTGACAAACCCTCTCCCTCTGGAGAAAATCTAAGTTCAAAGTGAATGTTAACAGAGCTTCTCATCTTGCCTGAATCTCAGAGAAGTTAAGGGCATATACAAGAAAGAGGTATAAATACATACATACACAAATACACACACACACACACACACACACACACACACACACACATACTGGCTGATGGTGGGGTAAGAGAAGGAAAAAGAGAAAGAAGTCATACTTACCCTACAACCACAATTATAAAATCTAGTAAATTCCAACCGTTGCGGAGGTAAGCGTTGGGGTGAAAGAGAAGTCCATAGGCTATTACTTTTAAAAACGCTTCCACAGTAAAAATGATGAGAAAGAGATATTCCACTCGTTCCTAGGAAACAAGCACAGAAGAGAGAAGCACATAAATTATTAGATTGGGGATTTGGAAAGTTTTGAACCAGAATGATCTGACAAACAGATGGGGAATGCCACCCTTTCTGGTGGTGTCTGGAGGGATAGGGTTTGGGGAACCCACAAGGCAAAGGCAAACCTCCACAACTCATCCCACCACTAGTGCTCCAATCCACTGATGAAAGGATTTTAAGGTCTTCAAAACTCACTGTTAAAATGTAAATATGGGGTACTAGAGAAAGGATCCATTTTTTTTGAAACTATTTAACCAGCTAACATTTTATGGTTACTCTCCAGGAAAGAAGGCATTGATCTGACGGGAGTAAATTCCAAGAGAGAGAAGGATGCTGAGAGATGATGTGAAGAAGAACCTGTGGAAAACCATGCCCTGATTTTGAGATAACAGCCCTGAAGGTAACAGGCTTAGTCTCAGGGAGTGGATACAGCTCAGAGAGTGTGTAAAATGACAGAGCTAAAACCTAGCTGCAAAGAAATCAAGACATTGAAGGTCCCTGGGCAGCTGAAACTTAAGAGGTGAACTACTCACACGCCTGGATTAGCAAATCAGAAATCTTTCTTGAGAAAACAAAATTTTCTCTTTGTCTAAAGACATAGATTGTGTGGAATATCAGCATTTCAGGGATGGATGCAGGTACTGGGGTGGAAGATGGTGAGTGGAAGAGTCCATCTCAAGGTGTAAAAGGCAATCTGTCCACCCTCCCCTCCCCCCCAAGTTTAAGAAGAAGGGTTTGCATTTAAGACTGCAGCTCCCATCCCTGAGAGCTCACATTTAACAGGACAAACTCATTGGCTCAATTAGAGAGAGCAGAGTCTGTGTACTGATTTACTTGCTTCCATCACCACTAATTGCTTTCTCCTACAACCCCATCCTGATGCAGAGCCTCAAGTGGCTCCCACCAGCGAGGCTGCCTGGCTATCTCCATGCTCCACTGCTCCTCTCTGCAGGCACCTCTGCCCGGCTCTCACTGGAGCCATCAAGCACCAGTCCACAGCGCATCCGGGCGCAGATCCAGCCCTATTATCGGATGTGCAGGGGTGTCTGCCTCACCGGTAACACCGCCAGAGACTGTGACACCAACATGATTGTCTACAAAACATCTGTGCAATGGCCGAGCAGAGAATGGTTACCTATTTTTTAATAAAAATATCTCTGATATTTATTACAACGAAGTAATTTTTGTAAGCCCAGCTTACATCAATATATCCACATGCTAATTTACTTTGTGAACCTTCTAATGTGTTCCGGTCAAAGCTGTTACTGTTATCCAATGACAAATGCTTCAAATCACGTGCTCCTGTCCAGACAGCTACAAGCAGGCGCTGTCGTTTCTCTCGCTGCTTGTGTTATAGACACTGATTTTGTCAGATTTCCTGGTGTTTAGCTACAATGCTGTGGTAATTTGTGAACCTCTATCAGATAATATTTTTTTGAGAACAAAGTAGTAATTAAAAGAAAAGGAGAAAAGTTTAAAAAAAGGGGTTTCCACCAGTTACTAATAATGTTGTGATGCAATGTATAAAAATTTCAGAAAATATCTTTGTTAGTATTCAGGTATTCTAAGAAATAGTACATGTAAGCAATTTAGAATTCTGTTTATCACATCAGGGGCTCCGAAGGAAGAAGATGGGCCATGTCCTCCCATTACACTTTATAACCCTGGACATTCACTGCAGGGTCGTTTTGTGTTGGAAGCCACTCAATCAATGTTAGTGAGCTGTGAGTGAGAATCGACAATTAGAGTTGATAATAAATATTACTAAGGGTTTTGAATGTTGTGGTATGTAAAGTGGTTCATGCAGGGGTGGTGAGGGGAGTGACACCCTGAGTCCCCGCACTGGGGAGAGAAACACTAGTCACGCCACTGTGCAGATTCACCAAGGAGAGCATGCAGGACACTTGATTCAGATTCTGCAGACTGATTTCCCATCCCCTGCAGGGCAGGTAGAGCTCACTGAAGACCCCATCAGGTCTCATCTGCGCTCCAGAGAGGGCCATGGAAGGGAAGGCACACTAACTCCACCCCAGCCTTCTGAGGGGAGGAGCCAAGGAAACACAGGGAGCTGTGGGTGGCTGTGCCAGAAAGCCAGCTCTTCCCTGCCCTTGCTTCCATTCAGTCTATTCAGGTACCTTAGAAGCTTAGTTAAGTTTTGGCCTTGCTGTGCCCAACTCCAGGTGAAGCGAGGTTTGAAGAGACAAAGTTAAAAAACGTAGAATTCCGGGTTCCACCCGGATCTACTGAAGTAGATCTCTTGGACATGGAGTCAGGGAATGAGCAGTATGAGCTGTTTCTACCTGTTTCTTGGGCACTCTGAAGTTCAAGAGCCAGGGGCCCACGTGCTAGTGGTTAGTACAGATCCTTCGCACTTGATGATTAAACGGAAAGGTTTTTGGTTTAAACCCTCCTCATGATGCTGTAGAAGAAAGGGCTGGCAATCCAGAAAATTTACAGTCAAGAAAACGGTATGAAACTTAGTTCTATTCTGTGACAGATGGAGCTGCCATGAGTAACTGAATGGCAAAATGTTTTAGGGGCCTTTGTTCCATATGGTGATGAAGGCAGAAACTAGGCAGACACAGTGAGAAGGAAAGGGAAGGTTCAGATTTAATCAACATCACAGAGGCAGACTCATTCTCTGCTTCTTACTCATTAAGATCATGATGTTGGTTGGGAGGTGTGACTGCCTTGGGGATGACCCACAAACATAAACTAGCATATGGGAGGCTCCCATTTTTAAAAAGCATGAGATACTAGGTTAAATTGTTCTTGAGGGCTGGGTTGGAAGGGAAAACATGCTACTAAAGACTCAACGCAACTTGATAAAAACTTGTGGAAGGTGGGAAAGGAGTTGTCAAACAACTGCTCAGCCCTCGTCTCCTCACCTGCCACCTCCACAATGGTTCAGAGCTTTCATTTTTAGCATCAGATGACAGGGCCACCTCCGTCTCTACCCCTGGAAACCTCTGTGGAAACTTACAAAGTGGGAGCTGGATAGAGAGAAGCAGACTAAGAAAGGTACCAATCCCCATTTTAGAGGTCAAGTGCTTCCATGTGTTTACACAGAGGCCACCTGCTTTTATACTTTCTCTCATCCATTCATTCTCATTGTTATTGAGTACCCTAGAGATGGAAATGACCCATAGCTGACCCCTCAGTGGGTTTTCAGAGGCAGTTAATCACACAAGAGGAGACTGCCCATCCTTCTGAGGGGCAACTGGTGGATTTGAACCACATGCCTTTGTGACTGCAGCACAGTGAGCTTTGGAAAGAGGTTGCACCCAAGGTCAGAGTCCTTCCTTTCCTGGCAAGGGAACATCAATATCCCAAATGGTTCAGGTCCCTATGTCCTGAGATGTTGTCTGATACCCCTAAATTATTCTTCTAAATAGCTGGCATGCCCAATCCAGACTGCTTAGAATCAAGCAGTCTTTTTATTCCTTCATTGACAAGGTTGTTTTGCCTGGTTTGCCCTGTCAAAAGAGAGACAAATAGGAGAGAAAGGTTCCTTCTGTGCAATGCAGAACTAACAACACTGCAGGCACAGGTGTGCCCTGGACCTACAGTGTCCCTTTGTGAGATGAGAAGATGAAGAATTCTTTCTCTTGTTGACCCCTGGCTTTGTAAGTGTCCCCCAATAATGTGTATATAAAAATCTATGCTGTGTAATATTATGTTCCCCACCCTGGTACATAACACATGGAGAAGGACCCACCTAGCACAACAGTGAGTAATTTGCTCAGTCATTCATGAAATACCGACTATAAACCCACACATGCTAGAGGCTGGACCTTTGAAAGTAAAAGCTCAGAAGGCGCTCAGAAGGATCTCCTGGTACCATGGAAGTCAAAATGATGATCAGAGTACAATGAATATGGGGTGCCCCAAAGTCAAGCACAATTCATTATGAAAGAACTTCTCAAATATAAATATATTCGAGCTAAATCTCAAAAGATGACGAGTTGTCCAGGTGAAGAAGTAGGGTAAGGCTAGAGGGTCAGGTAGTCCACGTAGGGTAAACTATAGATATGCAAATTTTCTGTCTGGTCAGGGTAAAGGCTTGTGAGGACTAGGGATGGAGCTGTGGGCTGGAGGAAGACCACCCTACAGGGCCCTAAGGCTATGTCTGGACACCAGATTCTGCCCCTTGAGCCAGGACATGGCAGGTGGATGTGCATCATGGTCTGGCATGAATGGTGGTGATGAGGTCAAGGAGGTGGAATATAAGATCAGACTGGCCTGGGCCAAGGCACAGGCAGTGGAATTGGTAAGTACTGGATTCCAAGGAGACCCTCAGTGAGATGGACTGACACAAGGACTTCAATAATAGGCTCAAGAGAATCAGAGATGGGGAGGATGCGGAGGCCAGGGCAAGGCACAGAGTCACAGGGGCACGATGAGTGATAGTCTACTCAATGGCACACAACAAGAAGATGGATTTCAGAAATAGAAAGACTGTAATTTGGTTTGAGGTTGCAAGTGAGGGTTGAGGGAAGGGCCCATGGATGATATCCACGTCTACGTCTCTGAGGCTTTTAATTTGAATTATTAGGTCAATGATTCTTACTGAACTAAGGGAGTTCAAGGAGAAGAGGGATTTAGAGGTAGGTGAAAACATCAGTTATAGGCTTACTGAACTTAAGACACTTGTGGGGCAGCAAGGTGAAGACACTGGTGATTGACTGCACAGAGGTGGGACTCAGAGGGGAATTCTGCATATGTTCACATGTGTTCACAAAAGAATCATCTCATATCTCAGTCACAAAAAGACACAGTTATAAAAGAAGACTGACATAGGGGTTGGAGGAGACTGAGAAAGAGGGAATAAATAACGTATACTGCATTAAAACAGATGAGGGAAAAACTGTTTACAAGGGATTTGTGATTAGATATTATTGTTATGACAGGAGTCCAAAACGAAGGCTGCTTAGTGGAGTGGACTTAGGGGAAGGGATTGAACAAC